GTGCCGCGAGCGCAACGCCGAAGAACGTCTAACTGCCCGCGCGCTTTTCCGGGTTCTGACGAAATCTGTTCGTCAGTTTTATATATAATATATACATTCAAAAATCTCACTTTTTTATATTTTTATTCCTGTTTTGAAGTGAAGCACGCGACGAAGTACACGTTCACGCTTAGGACGTGAAAAAATACAAATACAGTAATAATTGTAGTCAGATTTACGGGGCCATTTTAATGGTGTCGAAACAGGACTCTAATTCCTCTGACTATTAAGGCCCTGTAAGAATTAAAACAATGACAACCGACACCAAAATGTTTTTTTTCCCCCCAAACGGCGCGACCTCCTTCATTTCAGGCTAACAAAAACGATGAGGCACCGGAATAAACAAGGTGAAATTAATTTGCAAAACACTCCAAGACTCGTCAAGAGAGAGAAACGAGCGGGGTCCTTCTTGTTTTGTACAATATAAACTTACCTCAAAAAATGCCTCTCTCTCCTCTGGCGAAATGTTCGTTTACTGTTATCAGCTCAGTGCGTTTCCCGTCCACACTTGGTCGATAAACGCGAAATAAAACGTAAGATAAAAAAACACACACGCAGAAACAACGCCTGAGAATACAGTTTTAAAACAAAACGCTTAACGTATTCAGCGAGACCTCCTCCTGCTTTACCTTTTAAAAATGGTGGTGCGGTGAATTAAAAACAAAACGAAAATAAAACACTGTGGGGCCGGTGCCAGAATGCGAATGAAGCAATTAACGTTTCTTAATTAAATTCCGGTGACACGTCCCGCCCGCCTGGCACGCCGAGGCCCGACGGCGCGCGCTCGGCTCTACTCCAGCGCGAGGGAGTGTTGTTGTCGTCGCGCGCGCCGTACGCACCGCTGCAGGAAGTTTTTCAGACTAATGAGACCCCGTTAACGCGGAATCGATTACTTCAGAACTACGAACACAACCACCAAAAAAAAAAAAGGCTTCCGACGCCCCTGAGGCGCTCGTCTTTTGACTGCTTTACAAGCGTTTCGGATTAGAAGGTCCGCTGTTCAGCCGCTTGCCTGCAGACACAAGCGCCGGAGAACCACCAGTAAAAGAACCGAGACGCCGTTACCGATATGTGCCACTACCAAAGCGCAATGGTGAGGATATTATTTACTCATGTTCCTTCTTGGGTAAATAAGACGAGGGAAAGTACCAGCGCCGAGCTGCGGTTCCGAGACAGTCCTGCAACATCAGCCCTCCACGCTGAAGACTCGTGGTGCCTGATGTCACCGCAGCACACGGAGAAAAACAAGCACAATATTGAATATTACATGACGGGTTTCATGCACACACGTCCATAAATACCCGACAGAGCGGATAAACGCCCCTTTTCGTGTTTCAGAGGGTGCCAGGTACCGAAAGTGACACGGACCGCTGCTTGAGCTGGTTCGGGAACTGCGATGGAGAGTCTATTGTTTAGGACGCTTGGGACTCACTGTCCTTACAGTTCATCAGCAGAGCCCCTGGGTCCCGGGGTGACGGCTCCCCTCTGTGGCCCAGTCGCCCCTGACATCCTCGGCGATGTCACCGGAGTACGGGGGAAGAGGCAAGAGGAACTCGTCGTACAAAGCGCGTATGAGCCTCACCTGTAACACCTCCCGTGCCTGTCTGCCGCGAGCAACGCGAGACGAGCCACAGGGTAACTGTGGAAGCGTGCGCGAGCGGGACCCCTCGGCCGAGCACCTCCAGCGCGCGGACCGCGTCTGTAGAGTCGGGTTCAGCAGCCACGCGAGCTCGCGAGCACAGGGCAGCGGAACTTTCAACCCGGGGGGGGGGCACATTAATTAAAAACACTCCCCCGTGGGGCGCGGTCCGGGCGATCCCGGTCAATCAGCAGGTGGATAGAGGACGGCCGCCACAGAAATGCAAACAAGCAAAGCCGGACTCGAGCGCGAGGGAGCGGCGAGTTGAAGGTTTAGGAATCGCGTTTCGAAACATCGGGTGTTCTTACTGCACCGGCGGGACACCGGGTCGCATAAATCGGCGCATCTTTTAAGTCGCTTTGCACAGAAGCTTTAGACAAATGAATAGCAACAACGAGCTAATTGCAATGCAATTAAGACAGAACAGCACGCGCTGCAACAGTTTCCACCTGTGCTGGGGGCGAAGCCGCACCAACTACACGTCAGGGCGGACTGAGAGGCAGAAGCGGAGAATATATTAAAAGTAAATATCACTCGCTCCTCGGAGTATTTGCAGACGCCAGAGTCTGCGCCGGGCACATCTCTCGGGGAGAGCTACAGCCTTGAGAGATCCGATGTCGGTCTTCCACTACAATAACCTACCAGCGCAGGAACAATCCCTCTCTAACACCGGGGCGACCAGGGGTCCTTCAGCCACAGCGTGCGGGAATATACTAATAAATCAGGTTCTCTCTCACGGGCGACACTGTCAGCGGCTGCAAGATGCTGTTGTGATGATCATGAACAGTGCTCGCCAGGAAAGATCGGTAGAGCATCGAGCGCTCAGTAAACTACAGAAAAGGGCAAGATAAGCGTTTTTCTTTGTTAAATCACCTCAAACTTTTAAGCGGTTCGGGGCTTGTCAAATGTCTTCTTGCCAATGAGCACTGCCTTGTAATGAATGACTCCACTACACGGGGAGGCTGCGGGTTCTAAGGAGAGACGACGCGACAGTGACCGAGACCAGCGTGACTCGCGCAGCCACAACAAAGGGTTTCAGGGGCCCGAGACAGAATCGTACAGATCTGCACATCTGTCCAAGGTACGCGGCGCAATCTCACGCGTCCGTGCAAGCGCTGAACTTTTAAAGAGGAAGCCGATGAAAAGCTTGTGATCATGTCATTCGTAGTCATTGTCATTATTGTATTGTCATATTGTATTGTCATACGTAGTCGTAGTCATTCATAGTCTTTCACGAGGAAGGCGCAGGGCAACCAGCGTCTCCGTTTCCAGACCGGAATCCGCTCGTTTGAAAGCACATCATGCACAACCGTCTGCGAGCGCCCGAAATGTAGGCTGTCCACAGGGTGCGAGGTGGCACTGAATCCAGCAATCGTGACCCCCTTGCCGGAACACGTCTCGTACGATCGCGCACGATCGGCTCAGGGGACGGTCCCCGTGTCCTGCTGTTGTCAGACCGTTTTCCGGCCAAATGACCGCTCGCAACCCGAAGCAGAAGCCGTCGAGAGACGGCGAGGCTATCGAGGTGGTGTCTTTCCTCAGGCTGCATCAAGCGATCTCGAACGCGCGACCTCCGCCGGCACACACCTGTCTCCCGGCGGGCCGGCGGCGCGATGACCGCAGACAGGAGCCGCTGTTTAAAACAAGTTCCGTGGTGGTGGGTGGGGGGTAGGAGCACGCCGTCTTCACAGCGCTGATAACAGAGAAGCCACTGGGGCGCGGGGCATCGCTGGCGAACGCCGGAGAAACTGCAGCTCAGCCCAGTGCCGACCAGGAAGCGCTCGGCAGTGCCCGTGCCTGCGCAGGGAAACGGGACTGGGCGATATCGCGGTTTAGCAACAAAGCGTATCTGCAAACTAGGGAGATGAAATGCAATTTTGGCACCTACGGCTAATTAAAGCTGATCTCGCTGCAACGCGCTCCATGAACTAACTTTCTGCTTTCCCGGAGAAGACGCCGTGGTGATCGTGCATTTCACCCCGAAACCCGGCAACACCCGGAGACACGACGAAGGAGCACGACCCGGGGGATCCAACAAGCCCCCCGTCCCCGGAGAAGCACGTTCACTAGGGAAACATCATCATCCGACAGCCACAGCGATGGAAGTTCAGGGGGGACCGGCGAAGCAATTATGCGATCGCGAACACCAGCGCGGACAGCGACTGGCTTGCAATACCCGTGCAGTCCTTGCCAAGAGGGATACGGGGACATTTTATAAGACGATAAAATAACTACAAGTCCAGCAACTTGCGAAATCCGGACCCCGCGCGCTCGCCAGACCGCATCGGTGGTAAAAGTCTCGTGTTTGTTTCTCTGTGTTACTCAGTGGGGCTCCTCCGGCGAGCGCGGACAGGCAGTGCCTTACCTGCGCCGGCAGACCCCGTCAGGTACGAAGCCAGGAGCAAGGGTGTTTATTTACGGGGGAGATTCCGACCCCCCAGTCCCAGAATCACGAAACAAACAAAAAAAAAAACTCCTGCCGTGTTGTACACTACAGTCCTCAAACCCTGTGCAGTTACAGCAGCAGCAACAACAACAACAACAACAACACTACAAGTTCTCCTCCGGTCGTGGCTCTCAGGGATCAACGAGAACAAATCTGAAGGCACACCCCCCGCATGCCCCCCAAAACCTGAGAGCAGCCACCGGGGGGAGGCGAAGCGGCCCCACGCAGTTCGCAGTTCGCAGGGGGAGAAGCCTCACTCACCTAGCCCGAGCTGACGGATCCGTCGGCGGAGAGTTCTCCTCCGATCCCAGCCAAACAATCCAGCGTTCCCGTCTCCACATATGCACAACAACAGCGGTGATGATGATGATGATGATGATAATAATAATTAAAAAGCCGCACCCGCGAAACAAGGTTCGAGTCGGCTGTTCTGGGCGCTGGGGTTGTAATCCTTTGCAAGCGAACGACTGCGCACCGAGCGCGCCGCTGGTTTCCAGAGCTCGGCTCGCTCGCTGGCTCGCGGCTGGAGCGACACCGGAGGGGGGGGGGCGGCGCGCGCCCCGCTTCGCGGACACGCCCCCCCCCTCCCCTCCCTGACGCGCGCGCGGGCGGCTCGCCCGGCCAATAGCAGCTCGCCGGCGACCGCCCCCTCTTCTCTCAACCCCGCCTGCCATTAACCCTTCAGGTCACCTTCGCTCCCGTCGAGTTCTGTTTCCAGACGAAGCGCCCCGTCTCGGCGCCACTGCTCTGCCCGGCGCAAAGGGGGCAGTCAGGCGTCAGCGGCAGGACCAGGCCGGGGAAGAAGGGATCAGTTGCACCTGGGCTAAAGGGCTGACGGACAGCTCGGCTTTGGAAGCGCCGCAGCTACTGTCATTCCAAAACACAGCGAGGCTTTATATCAAAGAGCAGCTTGGAGAAGAAGGAGAAAAAAAACAACAACCCGTTTTCATTTCATCTGTTGCCAATTTTGTTTTCCCTCCGTTTTTCCGTCTCGTTTTGTTTTCCAGTTCGCGAGAATTCTTCTGATGCGACTTGAGGTTTTCGCTGGATCTGAAGTACAAAGCGTCTCGCTTCCCTGTGAATCGAGGCGCTATCACAGGGACGCCAAGCATTCATTCCGCTGCCAGTTTGTAGAGCAAAAAAAAAACACAAAACAAAAACAGAAACGAAGGCAAACTTTCAACACGAGGGCCTCGAGCCACGCCGTGACAATCCCGTCAGGGCAGCTGGTTCCGATCCACAGACCCCGAACCAGGCCCGCCACCCTCACGCCCTGCATCGTGCAAGGGGGCCCGTGAGCGAGCGATCAGACTGGCGCCGACTCCATGCACGTTAGCCAGGCAGGTGCAGTGAATGTTAAAGCCGCGCTCATGTTAAATGAGCCCAGCCCTGATCACGCCAAGCCCCGCTCCTCGCCGCAGAGCATGCTGGGGATCGACAGTGCCAACGATCAGCACTTCGACTTCACCCCAGACCCGGCTGCTTTGCCCCGCCAGGCATCCGCTGGACTGGGCCTGCCGGGCCAGCAACGCCAATCTGTCACTTTCGAATGATCTTTGCCACTTGATAAAAAACCAGGTCCTCGGTACAGCACCTCATCCCCAGGGATACACCCGGTTGGCAGTGCATTTTCTCGTCCGGTCGCTTCCTGGTAGTGCAGCTTACGGCGCCTATCGAACATCAGCCTGCCGAGCTTCCAGGTGTGGGTGAGGTCAGGCAGGAGGAGGGCAGAGGTGCTGTTGTAAATGCACCACACTGGCGGGAGAACAGGTACATTCAGCCATCTTCTCACCACCTGATCCAGTTCAGGGTCACTGGGAAGCCAGAGCCTATCCCAGCAAGCACCGGGCACAAGGAATCGACTGTAATTACTAGAGGGATTAGTGAAGCACTGGAGCTTCCAGTCCATTACAGGATTTGCACATAAACAGCAGTTTAATTGTTTAATTAACATGGCAATTAATTGAGCCATCTAATTAAACAGTGGCCATATCAAGTAATTGGTATCGGAATGAATTTGAAGGTTGGGTGTCTTGTCTATCCAGAGTGTTAAAGGATAAATCCCCCCCACCCCCATAACTGCCAGCAGCTACATCACCCTGCAACTCGCAGCTGACAGCCCACTAAAACAAAGCAGGTATGAGCCTGGCCAGTACCTGGATGGGAGACCTCCTGGGAAAGCTGAGGTTGCTGCTGGAAAAGGTGTTAGTGGGAGCAGTGGGGGGCACTCACCCTGCGGTCTGTGTGGGTCCTAATGCCCCAGTATAGTGATCGGGACACTATACTGTAAAAAAGGAACTGAGTTCCTCTGTGGACCATGAAAAATTCCAGAGCACTTCCCAAAAAGAGTCCTGTCCTGTCCTGGCCAAATTCTCCCCCTGGCCTTTACCTGTCATGACCTCCTAATAATCCCCCTCTCTGAACTGGCTTCATCACTCTGCTCTCCTCCCCATGGAGAGTACTGGTGCATCATCCAGGTGGGGCTGCACACTGGTGGTGGTGGAGGGGATCCCCATGACCTGGACAGCGCTGTGAGTGGAGTGTCCAGGAAAGTGCTACAGAAGTGTGAGGAATTAGGATTTTTACCCCCCCCCTCCCCGATGAGCTCGTAGAACAGACATTTCGTTGCCAGCAACTACTGCTCCACGCTGTACTGCTGTGCATTAGATAAATAAACTTTGATTTGATTTGATATATAACAATGGGGATTTCTTCACACGGGGTAAGGCCTCCACTCACCCTAAACAGAGGATCACCAGCTCCCCTCCCAGCTGGAGAAGACAGAGGATCCTCTCCAGGTGACTAGGCTTCGGATCCAGTCCTGATCAGCAGAGACGAAAGCCCAGTGAGCCGAGGACGCCGCTGTGTCCGCGAAGTTGAAATGAAACATTGATCTAGAAAGGAAGAAAATCCAACACTTGGCAAAGGGCCTGCAGGTAGTGGGAAGAAGAGATCGCTTGGAGAGCAGAATTAACATTGTAATTGAGCAGAGTTATTTGCATTTTAAGAACCAACCTGCCAAAGTGGTTTAATTAAATTCCACTCTATTAGAAACCCAGCAAACACACTTTATAAAGATCTTAAAACTCTGTTCCTTATGGCAATGGCAAGGGCTTCGCATCTAGCAAAGCCAAACATTCACATTCCACATACAAACACACCAGATTCCTCTATTGCACCACAGGGACAATGTATATACGTCCGCCCACCTTCTTCCTGCTGTATCCAGTACAGGATGAAGTGGGGGAGCCGGAGCCTATCCCAACAAGCAACGGGCACAAGGTGGGGGATACAGCCGGAGAAGGAGTGTCAGTCCCCTGCAGGTCAAACACACACACTCACACCAGGACCAAGTTTTCCAGAAGCCAGTTAACCGACAGTCTTTGGACTGTGGGAGGAAACCGGAGCTCCCAGAGGAGAGCCCCATAAACCCGAGGAGAACATGCAAACTCCACGCAGACAGCACCCCAGGAACTGAACCCAGGGCCCCAGTGCTGCATAACAGCAATGCGGCCCACTGCGCCACCATGCCACCCTCCAATGCATATACAATCCTCCACAAATCACACTACACAACATGGATATCTCTACACTGCAGTGAAACACAATACTGAGCAGCAAAAGAAACGTGACTCTCTTTTTGTTTTAGGAAAATAAAAAATAAGTCATTTTCCTGATGGTGGATTTACAAATTTGTTACAGCTGGAAGAGGTGGGTTTCCTTTGATGCTCAGTATACAGTACGCGCATCTTTTGAAATGTAACGTGACAGCATGTGTTGCAATTAAAAAAACATACACTGTGCCTCTACTTTGGTGTACCATGATTTTCCATGGTTGTAGTATAATTGCGTGTGTGTAAAATAGTTAAATGGCTTTGCCTCTTTCCTGATTAGATGCTTTGGATTTTCAGGCTGCAGAGGAAACAGCACCAGCCAATGTTCTCTGCGTAAACACAAGGAATAATGACAATGCTGCTATCTCTAAATCATTTCAAAATCTGTCGGGGAGCCAGTGCAGGGTTCTGAGCACTGGGGTAATGTGTGCAGAGATGTGTGTGCAGGGATGAACCCTGACAGCTGGATTTAGGTGGGATTTCTAATGGCAATTCTGATATTACACAAATGCTAGGACATAAGGGTTAGAACACCAGGGTATAAGTGTATACATGCATATATGCAGATGGAAAAAACACACAAGAGGGAAGAAAAATAAGAATTTAGGAAAGAGGCCAAATAAACAAACCCAGTAACAATGAATACACATACTTGCAGGCAGATGGAGAGCTGTGTAGAGCTTGCACTACCACTTTCCTGCGGAGAAGCTCTATTTCACCAGTGACAAAGCTCTCCACTGAAGCACAGAATTAGGCTGCAGATCAAAGGCAGGCTCGGAGGCGAGACCCCCAAGTTCTCCCTTGTGAACTGCTGTCCTCAGCTATCCCAGAAGGGCCTGGATATTTCTGTTCAGTTCAGTGACCGTTAATAAACCCTCAGTTTCTGCCAGTCAGTTTGCCTTCCGAGCCTGGGCTTCAGGAACACGATTTCCCCGATGAAGGAGCTTACAGTGCAGGCAGGAGGGATTGTGGATGACCCCCTGACCCCGCAGGGATAAGGTGAGCAGGGCTGTTGTGCGCGCAGTAAGCAGAGTGCGTAATCGGTATTGACGAGCATGGGGGTACAGGACATGGGGGGGGGTCACACAGGGTGCCATATGGCTCACTGGCGACGCTAATGTTTCCGTTGCGTTAGCTGACGCCATGTGCTTCGTAGCCCTTGCCTTCCCAGGGTGCACAACAGCAAAGTCGCCGAAAGGTCAGAGCTCCTTATGGAGCTCAAACAGCAGCTCATCCTTTTTTGATTTTCTTAAATAAGGTATTTTCAGGGAAAACCTTCCTTAAGATCAGATCAGATCACTTTACTGTCCATATCCAATTTCTTGTATTAGTTATGTGTCTTTTCGCAGACCCCAGCTTGCTCTCCACGAGACACACAGACAGGGAGAGAAGCTGGGGGTCAGAGCGCAGGGTCAGCCATTTATACAGCGCCCCTGGAGCAGCTGGGGTGAAGGGCCTTTCTCAGGGGCCCAACGGAGTAGGATTCCTCTGCCGGCCGCGGGATACGAACCAGCAACCTTCCAGCCATTAAACAGTGGTCTGGGTAATTGAATAGGTCACATTTCACTGTCCTTCATTCTGGTCCCAATAGCAGTACTGTTCCAGTGCTAGAGCCACTCTTCGGCAGGTCTGGTGATTTGATGTCGATTGAATTTATAATCTCAGCCAGGGACATCTGCCTTTACTCCGTGAGCGCCGGGGAGCCGCGTGGGCGGAGAGGCTGCCATCGCCCCCATTAGCCGACGGTATCCCCGCGGTGGGCAGCGGCGCCCCCTCTGAGGCCGGCATGAAATGAATCACCAGCCGGCCTCGCACGGCGATCCGCAGTTCTGTGGACGATGGAGGGGGGGGGTGGGGGATTTCCCAGGAGGGACTGGGGACAAACAGCGGGAGATGATTGCTCTACTCTGTATC